GAACTCGCTGCCTTGCCCACAGCGTAGGGCGCAGCGCCACCGGCACTGTCGTGCGGTTCCTTTGCTTTGAGGGCCCCAGAGATTAGAGCCTGGGGAGACATGGCCGCGGGCGGCGCCGCCCTAGGTAAGTCAGCAGATACGCTGAACCCGGGCACCTGGGCCTCGCTCATAGTCTTTAAAGAAGTGGGCCAGAAAAATGTGAGAATATGAGAGAAGCAGAGGCAGCCGGAGGCGGCAGCGAGATTCCGGACAGGGCGCCGCTTCCTGGAAGCCCAGGGCCTGCGCCAACTCGGGCGACTGATTCGATGCCTCCGTGCGCCTCTCGTCAGAAGGCGGCGGTTACTGCTTCCGAGGTCACTTTACTGGGACACGCGTCTTTAGGGTGTAGATCCGGCGCGCCTGCAGGAGCAGAATAACCAACACGCCTAAGCTCGGGGCAGATGATTCCCCTCTGCCCTCGCCCTGCGCTCAGCCACTTCCTTCCGTCTTCGTTTCGCTCAGTGTTTAAAGGCGCGCGCAGCGCACGGCCAAGCGTCCCGATGGCGGCACTCTTCCGGCCAGGCGCGCCCCTAGATGCCGCCCCGCGGGGCGCCGCGCTGCTGGGGGCACCACGGCCGCTTTCCAGCGCTCGCAGACTGAGCCGAGGATGCCGCGGCGCCAGTAATGCGGGGGCCCAGGCTTCTTAAGGTGTGGGGAGGATGGGAGGCCGGCGGACTGACCCGCCCCTGCTGGCGGGACTGGGCGAAGGCCGGCGGACTAGCAAGAGGCACGCACATCTTCCCGCTTTGTTTGGCTGGGGAAGCGGGAGGGCGCGCAGTCCTAAGGCGCGAGAGCGAGTCCATTCGGTCCTTCCCATGGGGGTGGAGAATTGGTTTTCTGCTGTGTTCGGGGGAGGCCACAGAAGCTGTCCTTCTGCATTGGACCCATGTGCTAAGTTTGGAAAGCTTAAAGAAGGTCAGTAGCTTCTAGTCTCAAATCTGCTTTCGGAGAAGTGTTTCCAGCCCTACAATTTGAATTTCGCCTCCTCTCTCAGCCAAACTGTGGGCTCGTCCAGGAAGAGTGGGCGGGGCGGGGAGTTGCTGGCGGGAAGTTTAAAACTTAGTGTGTTCCCACTGGCCGGGCTCATTCTGCGCCCTCTCCTTTCTTCTACATCTTTCTGCGTTCTTCTCTGCCATGCCCTCCTCTGAAGAGATACCCACCATCTCCCCCAGCAAGCGGGCCCGGCCTGCGGAGGACGGCGCCATACGGCTCCGCTTCGTCCGGCTCTCGGAGCATGCCACCGCCCCGAGCAAGGGGTCTGCACGGGCCGCGGGCTATGACCTATACAGGTGAGTGGCGACTGCCGGCCGCCCACGCCCCGGAGGGAGACTGACCCCGGCGATAAGGCCGCCTTCTGTCCCTGCCATCCCTGCCCCCGGAGAGGAGACCCAGTTCTCGGATTTTAGAGTTCTCAGTCACGTTAACTTATATTCTCAGGCCCTCTGCTACCGCAGCTTGAAACAGTCACTTAAAAGATTACAGATCAAACATTTTTTTTTTTTGCATATATGTAGGTTTCCGCCCTTTTGGTGTTGAAAATTTCAGCTTTCCTCCAGCATAAATTCAATAGGCATTTGGGCAAAAAGTGTAGAATGGTAAATATCAATAAATGTCTTTTGAGGCGTTGTTTTGCAACATTCATTGTGCCCTCTCCAAATGGAAGGTAAAGATAAATAAAGCCCACCTTGGCTTTCAAGACCTGAACATGATGCCATGCCCAACAGAAAAGCCATGGTGGTATCCTAGGTGCTGATTATGAAAATACCTAAGAAGGATTAATGAAGACTGCTTCTGCCTTAAAGGCTTAATAAAATTTCTTCACACATCCCTATTTAAGTTTGATCCAAGGACTGGAAATTTCAGAAAGGGTCCAAATACAAAAAGGGATGTTGGTAATACTACCACCTTTTCATTTGTACACTTTTTACCTGTACTAAAAACTTTCTCATATTTTTTTTAAATTCTCACAATAATCCTGAAGTAGACGTGTTACTTTTTACAGATGAGAGAGTTTGTAAGGAGCCGAATTGATAGCCCAAAGGCTTGAAATTAATAGGATTTTTGACCCTGAACTCAGTGCTTTTTTACCCTTGACTACTGTACCCAATTCTTATAACCATGATGGTAGGTGAAAAGTGATTCTGGAAGTAGAGGATATTTATTACATGACTAAATCCTTAGGATATATTTTAAATCATTCCAGGTAATTCTAATGTTAGAACTGTTCTAAGTCATAAGTATGAGGGAAGGAGAGAAAGTATGTGATGATAGTAAAGAAGAAAAGCGAGGTATAGACTTGAAGCTGAAAGGGATATAATTCAATCCCTTAATTTTCATGAATAAAAGGAGTGTCGTAGTTTAACTACACCATGTCTGGGCAGTGCTGTGAGTCATAGGAAAGACTGATTTAAAGTACTTTAAGCATCCTCCTAACAAACGTAGGTGACTTTATACATGCTGAAAAAAAACATGAAAATAACTGGTCTTTAATAAATTAGGGCTTAACTATGAAGAGAAGAAATTCTGTTGAAAGAAGTAGACATAGTACTGCTTTTACCAGCCTTAATTAAGGTATTCAAAGTAAATTCCAGCTCTGCTTATTGCAAGATCTCTGGTGGACCTTAGAGAACCCGTTCCTCAGCGGTGTCCATCTCCAGGGCTATTCACAATGCTCACCCCTCTCCTTCAGCCAGTGAAATTCATGGGCACAGCTTAGTAAACTACGAAGACCAGTAGAACAGATGCAACACAGCTCTACCCGCTTTCCTTCTGCATGTTTTCCCTAATTGCTAGAGGATTGTTGTGAGAACATGAGTTATATAAAGCAGTTAGAACTGTGCCTGGGGCTTAGTAAAGCTTAATAAATGTCAGCTATTATTTACCCTTCTTTCTTAGTTCTCTCTTCCTCTTTTCATACTGTTACTGAAGCATATACCTTTTAAAAATCTATCTTTTCTGCCTCCCGCTCAACCACATTGTTCAGAGAATTCATTTATTTACATATTGTCACCTCTTTCACCAGAAAAATTCATAGAGAATTAATATATCTAAATACCAGTTATTTTCTTCCTATATCTTCCTAGTGCCTATGATTACACAGTACCACCTATGGAGAAAACACTCGTGAAAACCGACATTCAGATAGCTCTTCCTTCTGGGTGCTATGGAAGAGTAGGTAAGTGATTTAAGACATAGGTAATTATTTGTCATTCTCTTTTATCTTAGTTTCATTTGGAGTATAAATAAGGGAAGGGATATTGCTCGTTCTGTGTCATAAAATAAAGAAGTGACATCTGTGATGGCAGATACAGCCATTTGAAAACTTTCATTTACATACAGGCATACCTGAGAGATATACTGTGGGTTCACTTTCAAAATACTGCAGTGAAGTAAATATCACAATAAAGCAAGTCATGAATTTTGGGTTGTCAGTGCATATAGAAGTTATGTTTACATTGTACTGTGGTCTATTAAGTGTAACAGCATTATGTCTAAAAAAATATACATACCTTAATTTAAAAATGTTTTATTGCTGAGAAAATGCTAGCCATCATCTGTGCCTTCAGCAAGTTGTAATCTTTTTGCTGGTGGAAGGTCTTACTTTCTATTTGTAAAAAAAAAAAAAAAGCAACAACAGTGAAGCACAATAAAGCAAGGTGCGATCAAACGAGGTATGTCTGTATCTCCTTTTGTCTCTATGTGCTCTTTTTGCTTCCTTAATCTTTCAAGAGGCTCACATTGGCCCAAATAACTACTCACTGTGAGAAAAACTGCAAATATAGGTGATTTTTAACTGGTACTTTTATCAATGTTAACGCTAACTTCTCCTTTAAGGACCAGATTGCATATGAAGTCAGATTTCTTTGTGAAGATGGTGATGAGAATAGCTAATATATGTATGTAGGAAAATAAAGACAGGCTTAGTATAATGGCACGTGGCATTCATCATGAGGGTAAAACTAACTTCTGGCAGTCCCAGTGTATATATCAGGCCACTTAGCTTTTTCCCCTTTGGATTTCCCTGTATGGGGTGTTTTGGGGTAAGGGATACTCATCAATGGACTAGAAGGAAGCACTTCATAGTAGGAAGAGCTAGGGCAAAATGGAGTATAAGTCAATAGGTTTGACTTTTCTGGAGTGAGTCAGTTGTCACTGGAAAGGAAAGAGATTTAAAAGTTCTTTTCAAGAGCATAATTTCTGACTAACTTGAGAGTAAAACATGGAACAAATGAAACTGACCCTTCACCTGCAAGGGGTGGAAAGTGGTGGCTCAACTACCACTACCTTGTTAGCCATGACTGTGAGAACTAATACTTCAGCCTTAAAAGAAAATTGAGACGAGCTCTCTCTTTATCTCTTTTTCTCAGCATTGACTGCATTTTTGGTGTATTCTGGGGGGTGGGGTGGGGAATCAGGAGGTAGTGTGAAATAAAAGTAAAGGCAAGAAGGGGCAGCAGTGTTTATTGACAAAGTTTTCTGATTTAAGTTATTCTGGAATAAAATACTAGAAGATAGGATAATTAATGGTAGGCCTGAGGCTCAAATCAGCAAGGATAAGGTATAAATTTAGCTTTTTATTTTTATTAAGAATAAAAAGCATAGTAAGAATGAAAAGCATAGTGAAATTGAGTTCTTAAAGTTTAGTTTTTGGCATTTTGCTTGACTGATATTAAACCTTTTATCTTACTCTGATTCATTTGTTTCATACAGAGATGTCTCTTGGAATCTGAATCATGAGTAGGAAAGAGTCCCCAATCCTATAGGCGAAGCTCTGCTGCTCTTCATTTCAGTTTATGTACCACCCCCACCCGCCGCCCCTTTCTTTCTCTGCCTGCCTTATTCCCAATTACATTGCAACATGCTCAGAACTCCCATCTTAAAACAGAAGTCCTCTTCCTCAGTTTCGTGTCCCTACCAGCTGCAGTCCTCACTTTGTGGCCAGACTTCTTCACAGAGTTGTCTGTGGTTGTACCCACTTGATCAACTTTCATTTCATTGCAGCAGTTCACAGCTGTACCACCACAGATCCTCAACTGACTGAAGTTGTGTGCAACTGGCTTAAAGTTGGCTTCAAATTAAACCTTGTCAGATTTATCTAAACTTTTCTAGTTTGGTAATACAGTATGATAAATATATTTTTTAATTCAGAACCATCTGCTAAGCTAAGATGAATGTCAGTGTTATGAGAGATGAGAGTAACATGCTTATATTGGTGTCAATTATATCCGATATCGCCCTTCCCTCTTAAAATAGTGAATTTCTCCTTTTTTGTTTTTTAGCTCCACGTTCTGGCTTGGCTGCAAAACACTTCATAGATGTAGGAGGTAATATACATGTTCTGTCTTGCCTTTTAGAAATTTCTATCTGAATAATAGACAATTATGATATAGTGTCAAATGCTGTTTGATTACGTCTAATTTTTAAATGACCATTATGTGAAATGCACGTTATTTTATTGATAGGCTAACTAGACACTATCTGACAAATAGGATTTTTGCCTTGGTTTAATGATAATTGCATTTAGTCCAAAAATGACCTTATTCTTAGAAGAAAGTTTGTTATAAGAGAAGGAAAAGCTTTGTCATTATTTAAGCAATTATATTGGCTTCAGAATATTTTCTTACCTCCATAAGAGAGACATCCATGTTTGGCAAAATAGAAGAAGAATCTTTACCTAGTCAAGAGAGAACATTGTGCTTTCCTATCTATATTTCTTGGTCAGCAAATCTTCAGTGACTCATGTCTCTCAAAGTCAACAACTCCCTCACGGGATCCCTTTCATGAAGAAGCCCCAGTTTCTTCTGCTGGCCACCCTTTTTGTAAGATCTCTAACTGCCCCTTAACTGTAAGGAAATTCTCACCTTTCTGATATGGCTTCCTTCAGATCTCATCACTGGGGTACAGATCCCACTGATGGGATCCCCATGTCCCGACACTTCTTTATCCCCATTGATAGAGAGCAAGTGCTTTATTCACTAACAAGATATCTTGGCCCTCTGGGTAAGTGGATGTGCTAGATTCTCCACCTCCTGCTATTTTTACAAAGCTACTTTTTAACAGATGAGAAATGGGCTCAGAGATGAGCCCAAGGTGACCCACTAAAAACTGGAATTTCCATCCACCTGATTCCAATTTCTTTCCACTGCAATTAAATGATGCGGATCACTCTGCCCCACCCCTCCATCAACCAGGCACTGTCCTGAAGTAGCTCACTGTTACTTGCACTGCAGGGGGTAAGGGTGCAGAATGAGGCCTGTCCTTGCCGTAGCTACTGCCTGCCCTTAGTCTCCCCACGGTATCACTAGGTGGTGCTGTGGGTCAAGACAGGAGCCCAGAAGTGTTTCTTAGGGACTAAAGAGGGGCCGAGTTTGACACAACAGTGATGGTCAGCCTATTTGGGTTGAGGATTGCCTGAGCTCAGTTATGCTTGATTTTCAAAAATACTTTTATAAGGTCAAGTATGGTAATGTAGGACTGTAACTTAAGGATATAAAAGACTATATTTTCTTAAAGAAATTTCAAAGACTTGTGAAAGGAACATGAGCTCTAAAGTAACAGCTAGATTTGGGTCTCAGCTTTGTCACTAACTAGCTAGTTATTTAACTTTTCTAAGCTTGATTTCCACATGTGAGATGAAAATTCGTGTGCCTGCCTGTGAAGGGTAGGACAGTTAAACGATGTATGTAAAGCATCTAACACTGTGTGGCACATATTAGTTCCTGTAAGTTATATTTCCTGTTTCCTAGGGACTTCACAGATTTTTTTCTTTTTTTCTTTTCTTTTTTGACATGGAAACTTGTTTTTCCCAACTGTGTTACTAATTTTTGCTCTATTTAAAACAACCCTCTGAAAAAAATTCATGTAAAAGAACTGGAAAGTTAGTTTTCCTGGTGGTTGGTGTGGTATTATTTATAAAATCACATTGTGGTGTGTTCTTGGATGCAGAATATCTTAAAAATGTCTCTTAGGCACAAATTTATCATAGTTGGCCACAGTTTTTATTTCAGAAGAGAGATGTTGTTAGAAATCCCACGCTGTAAGTAAGGGTCAAAGGGAAAAGTTGAGTATGCAGGATTCTGTTCAGAATTCACATCTGGTAGGTGTGGATAGTTTTCACCGAAGGAGGTTTCCAACAAATGACATGCCAAAGTCTTGACACAGTAAAACTTGCCTGAAGTCAGTTAATCACTCTGCCAGTTCCAATGCATGATTTTTCCAGTGATAACTTGAAAATACTTTCTGCTTTCTCATGAAGAGAAATCTCCCTGATGCTTATGTCCCTTATATAGAAAGAGAATAAGCCTTGGGTTTTCTTGAAGGTCAAATCATCTTTGAGTAATAAATGAACTTGAAACTATTGGATTTTTTATACTGTTGGCATTCATGCTAAAAAAAAAAGTTTTAATTGAAGGCTTCTTTTTTTTCTGCAATACATTTTAATTGACTTCCAACAACTTAATTTCTTTTAGTTAGCCAAAAGCTTTCCCCATGTCTGTGTGCCAAGCATAAAGTCTTGGTAGATCATCTGGCATTGCAGGGTTCAAGACACCCAACCATTTGAATATGATAGAACAACTTTACAGATTTATACCCAAGACCTTTACAAAAAGGGAGTGTTTTTGTATGGTAGAAGATAGTATGGTGTAGAAAAATAAATACTTGCAAGTCATATGAAAAAAAATACCTAAACAGATTTAAAAAACATAAACAATATAGAAGAAGACAAAAAACCCCATCACAATAGAGAATAGGACATGCAAGTTGTGCAACAAACATACAGAGGAAGAAAGTCCAGCCTAGTCATCAGGGAAATGCAAAGTAATGCCATGAGATACCATGTTTTACTCATCAAATGGACTGGAATTAAAGAGATTACTGCCATCTGGTACTGTAAGAACTTTGGGAAAGGGCGTTCTTAAATATCTCTGATAAAAGTTTGAATTGCTACACCTTTTTTGCAAATTGTCTAGTAATGTCTATTAAAATTTATAATGTACACACCCTTTGACCCAGGAAAGTGCTTTTTTGGAAACTTTGATGAGGATAAAAAGCACTAATACACAAGGACACATGTAAAGGAGGGCTGCTTTGTTTGTTACAGTAAAAATGTGAAAGCAACCTGAATTTGTGATAATATATAAGAGATTCACATAAATAATGGTACTGTATTTCCATATCTTGGATCTAAAAAAATAAGATTTATATATATTAATCTCAAAGGATGCCTATATTTTAAGTAGAAAAAAGGAAAATAATATTTAAAATGTATTATTGTAATATTGGCTACCTGAGGGAGGATGGGGGAATATTATTAGCTTTTACCGTTAAAAATGTTTGTACTATTTGGGTCATCTAAAAATGTTCTAATAAAGTAGAGAACAAAAGAGTTCAGCAAAAGTCAGTCCACATTGTCTTTATCTAATGCAATCTAGATAAATGAGTACTAGCCTGTACTCCAGGCCTTGCAGCATAGAGATCAAGATTCCATGGCCTTTCTGTGGACTTTTGTTCCGGCATGAGTAACATGTTCTATTGAGGGATTTCTTCATTAAATCTGATCTACATTGTTCCTGCAGCCAAAACTTTCTGCATGTAGATAACATAAAAAAGCTAATCTCATCTTTATCAATTCTGTCTGTAAATATTAAGGACTAAGTTAACAGTCCACTGGCAGTGGAAAAGGAAACCAGGCTTCAGTATTCTTTGAATTAGTCAAAATTTCATTACTCTACAACTAGAAAGGAACAGACTGTTTCTTTCAGTCTGGACATGATACGAACCACCTCTGCTGCCTTTCAGCCTTTTTTGTGCTGACCCTTCTCACTGTTAAAATTTCATTTATCTTTAATTTAAACTCTTAAAAGTTTTGTGTCAGGAACCTTTTAAGAAGTGCTTGAATCCAATTTCACTTACCCCCAGTATCTCATTCATAAAGCATAGGAATTCATTTAAACTTCTGTAATCCACTGGAAAAATCTAAAATGTTGTTTTTTTCTGAGTATTTTTCCTATGGTGGGCCTTTTTTTTTTTTAATTTGCTTTTTTTCCTATATGAGAAAATTGGAAGGGAATGTTTACCCTTGTTCTAAAAATAAATTTTTTTCAGCTGACCTTCAAAGAATGAGTCTCGCCAACCAGCATTCGTACCCATTGAGCTAAATTCCTGATTATTTTATTTCCTTTTTCTCTTGATAAGAGGTTTTTGTTTGTTTCTTATAGGAAGTGGGTATTAATAAGATGTTACATGAAATTACATCTGTTTAGGTTCACATGAATTCTATCCTTTTTACAAACTGAAGGAAACATGTATTAAAGGAAATTGGCAATGGGAGGGGGAAGTGATTGCTAGTAGGTAGGGGGTTTCTTTTTGGGGTGATGAAATGTTCTAAAATTGATTGTGGTGATGGTTATACAAGTCTGAATACACAAACGTTGAATTGTGAATTATGTCTCAATATTAAAAAAAATTAAATGAGAAGGCCTGATGTACCTGTATCATCTATACCTTGTGTTTATGGAAACGTTTTAAATTCTTGGTCCTAATAAGTCTGGTAAATGAACCTCTCTGGGCCAAGGCCGGGCCATGGCTTAAGTTTCTCTCCTGCAAAGATTTGTTGCCCTGTGTTTATAGTCTCAAAATAGGTACCAATTACACACAATTCTATGTAAAACTGTACTCACTGTTAAGCTTCTGTGCCGATGTCTTCTTCATGCTCTAAGAAGGTGTGGTGGCTTGATTTAAAAGCAGAAGACTGAACTGCAAGGTACAGGTCCGTTTTTGTTATAAAAATGGGAAGTTCTGATATTTGCTAGACTGCTGCTTAACAGTGTCAGCACTGACTTATTCCTCTGCATATCTTCAGGCTCTTTGACATTTTTATTTATGACTCAATCATATTTCAATCTAGATATTAGTGGGAAGCTGCTACTAGGAAAAGCCTTTAAAACCCGATTCATAATTTTCTCCTAGTCTTTTTGGCAGCTGTGCAGCAGATAGAGACAGGGGGTTTGGAGAGAGCAATTCAAGACAACTCGTTCACGCTGCTAAGTGCCTGCTCCCTGTTTAGAGTAGGAAATGGTCACTATTTGTAAGGGTGACAGGTGGGAAAATTCAGAATATTTTCTAAATTCTTTTTATTTGCATTTTAGTAGTATCATTTCTTATTTTTGAGGCTTCACATAGTACCAGAGCAAGATTCACTTATTCGGTTATGAGGATAAAAATCTCAGCTACATAAGAATGATTTTGAGGTCATCATATACCCTTGGTGTTTTGGTAGCATAAACCAAGCTAATGATATTTTTCTTTTCTCCAGCTGGTGTCATAGATGAAGATTATAGAGGAGATATTGGTGTTGTACTCTTTAATTTTGGCAAAGAAAAGTTTGAAGGTACGTTAAACATAGAGTCATAAAAGCAGTGAGTTTTCTGAGTTATGTATGTCTAACACATGCTAACTAGTTCTCATTGTACAAGGCAGGATATAGTGAATGCATTCATAAATATATCAGTAATAAACATAAAATGTCAGTAATAAACTGTTTTGTTTTTCCCTTTGAAGTCAAAAAGGGTGACCGAATTGCACAGCTCATTTGTGAACGGATTTTTTATCCAGAAATAGAAGAAGTTCAAGTAAGTATCACAAAAACTGAGTAGGGAATGCATAATATAACATCTTCAGTGAAGGAAAAATAAAATTTCGAGGATTTAGTATGGTATTTCTAACTAAATAGCATATATGACTAATCATATTTTAAACAAAATTAAAACCTCAGTTTTAGAATTTTTTGAGATGATTTTCATAGCTGTCATCTAGCATTACTTTGGATGACAACTCATTTAAATATACTGTGAATTCTGTTTCCTTAGCTTTTTGAAAATTATCCAATAATTAAATTTACAGAGCTTATAAAAAATTATTGCAATCCCCTTTTTTAAAGGACGTTATAGTAAGAATGAGTCTTAACTGATTAGGAGCTGGGGAGAACTGAAAGATGATGTGAAATTAACTCTATGGCTTACCACCTTTATGTCTTTTCAGGTGTTAGATGACACTGAAAGGGGTTCAGGAGGTTTTGGTTCCACTGGAATGAATTAAAATTTATGCCATGAACAAAATGAGGAAATATTTTTTTTTCCCTTAAAAAATAAAGAGTTTTTGTTTAGTGTTGGTGTAAACTTTAATAGCTTTAGGTTTTAAAAAAATCTGGTTCTCATGAGGAAAGGGTACTGTTGGGATCACAAAACTTTACTCTTGTGTTTTTCTACATTTTATTGTTTTATAAATCTGCATGGTAACCTAATACAAATAATTTTTCAGTCAAATGTGCATCAGTTGCAGGTCCCCTCCCCAAAACTGTATTTAATTCACTAAATGCTACCTCTTCAACAATTTGTCTTTCAGTCGCTTTATAAATCATAAGCAAAGCCTTTTAATCAATAAATTCAAATTCTTTCACAGATATAAATTATTACATAAACTGAACTAAAACATAATAAAAAGTTAAAGTTCCTTATTCTCCTCATTGGTTTAAAAATAGTTTTTAATGTTAAGATTTCTTTGTGAGGTAGGAAGAGAATCCTCAGTTTATTTTTAGGTTTTTTTTTTTTTTAAATCATCCTTTTGATAGACCCTAGATTGACTGAGTATAGTATGTTTGTGAAGGAAACTATAACATGGAAATTTCCAGTTGGTTTGTTCCTCTGAATTTCATCCCATCAAATAAATTGTATAAGTTGTAATTATATGGGTTTCTCTCACTAAAATAGCAATGATAGCCTTATTCAAGAAAATATGCAATTTAATTAGGATAAAATAGATGTAGTGATGTATGCTTAGACCACTAGGTTTGTCCATTCCACATACTTTTGAGTAAATGTGTTTAAGCAGTATTTCACTGCAGATAGGGGGCTGATTCTATGGATTAGTTTGTCGATATGCTTTCTTTTATTTCCCAGACCCCTTTGCACCAGGTCTTTGGGTGTCACTTTGGCTTTGTCAGTCAAATGCACTAGTGTGGGACTTATGAGGCATTTTTTTGTGAGTGTGGGTCATAACAGACTGTGCTTTTGGAACTGGACACTCTTGGTCACTCAGTTCCTGGAAGCACCAGCTATAGTTTACTTCTTCTGTCCTTCCAGTGTTTCTAGGTCATTTAATACCCTGCAATGTAGTAGTTTCCATCTGCGATCACGATTCATTGGTCATGAAATCAACTAAGTGGGTCATACATAACTAGCATTTTAAAAAATTGAGTAGAAAAAGCATGTCAGATGAGTAAATGTGAAGATTGTTTGAATTATATATTTATGTGTATACAGGTTCATGGAATAAATTGTTTCTGCAGTTCAATAAAATTTAAATTCTTTCTTGCTAAACTAGCTAGAGTAGATTCTGTTTTCTGAACCCTGATTATACATAGTAACTGTTGAGTAAGAACAAGTAGTGTGATGTGACTACCGAGAGATATGGTCTTAGCTGACTGTAATGTTCTCACTTGACTGAAAGTCCTCTGTATTAAGCACTTGTACAAACTGCTTGTTTTCTCTGCATACCTGTGGGGAAGTAGATATAACACTTTATATATGACAAGAATGGGCTCAGAGACATTTAGTAATTTGTTTAACACTTCAGCTAATATCTGTTAAAGCTTGGGTCCTATTGCTTCAAAACCCATGTTTGCTTGGGTCCTATTGCTTCAAAACCCAATCTTTCAAGTGGGAAAGAGAATGGAAAAGATGGTTAATGAAGGTCCTCCAGTTCATGCCTGGTATGTGTTTCCATCTGGGCACGTATTTAAAGGAAGATGCTCAGATCTGAAGCTACTCTGGAAGTTAATATGGGGGATAGATGAAAGATGTAAGGGTTTTGTTTTTTGTTTTGGAGAAGTGTATGTGCTGCAAATAGGAATGGGATAGAGAGAGAGGTTAGGAGAATGTCCCTGGGATACAATAGATGTTTTATCTTAAAGACTAGGGGAATTAGGCTTGTCAAATATGACCCGATGTTTTCTGTGAGACAGTAGTAAATATATATTAGTCTCTGTCCCTGGTTCCTGGCATAGAGCTGCTAAAACCCTTGTAATTTCCTAAGTGATAACACTAGGAGCATTTCTTGTTCTAGTATTGGTCTTTGACCTCTGTTCCTGACCAAGAGCTCCTGAAACCTTTGCAATTTTCTGGGTGACAGGAGTGTCATTTGTTCTAATGTGACTCTGGATGGGCTCCTGGATGCAAGTTAATCACTAGAACCACCATGATTAGAAGTTTAGAATTTTCAGCCTTGCACCACAATCTTGGGAGAAGGGCTGGAGATAGTTAATGATTGATCCTGCCTGTGTGATGAAGCCTCTGTAAAAGATTGGGAGAGTTGGGTTGGTGAACATGTGGAGGTGCTGGAAGAGTGGTGCTCTTCCCAGAGGGCACGGAAGCTCTGCTTCCCACATGGCTTGTCCTCATCTCTTACATCTGGATGTTCATCTGTATCCTTTACTATATCCTCTAATAAACCTATAAACCTAAGTGTCTCCCTGACTTCTGTGAGCTACTAGCAAATTAATCGAACCCAAATATGGGGCCTTTAGAACCTTGTTGGTCAGAAGCACTTGGGCTTGCGATTGTTTTCTGAAGTAGATGTGGGTGGGGTGAGGGGAGCCATTTTATGGCACTGAGCCCTTAACTTGTGGCATCTGACGCTATCTTCACATAGACAGTGTCAGAATTGAATTAAATTGTAGGAGACCCAGCTGGTGTCACAGAATTGCTTGGTGTGGGGAAAAGCCTCCACACATCCGGTAACCAGAAGTGAAATGTTTTATGTGAATAGTAAAGGAGACTCAGGGAAGAAAGATGTAGGAGGAAAGAACTGTGTTTTTCCTTACATAGGGATGAAAAAAGGCTAGCTGAGTTTTTCCTTTACAGTGGCATAAGGCAGATTCGTGGAACGTCCCTAAAACAGCAAATTTAATGAAAAAAGCAAAAACTGCTATAGGAAGAGTATAATACAGGCTGTTGGGCTGGAATTATTGAATACTAATTTTCTGTTATTTATGCAAAATTTAAATATAATATTTTTACTTTGCTTACTGTAACATGCAATATTCAGAAAGTGTATAAAACAAAAGTACATGGTATAGTGGATAACTACAAAATAGGAGCACCTAAATAGTGGTCTGGACTGGTTTTCTAGAAGGTGAAAACCCTATGCTAATAAGGCTTGGTTCCTGAGCTCATTTCCACTAGATTCAGCTGGTAGCAAAGGGAAACCAAGGAGCAGCCCTTTATAAGGACAAGTTCTCCCCACTAGAAGGGAAACCAGTTTTTTACTGATGGCCAGTGAGAAGCATTTTCACATGTAGGGCTGCACGTTTCGATTTTCAGATTAACTACAAATTGAATAATGATTACCACTGTGCCAGTTTAGTAACTTGCCAGGCACAAACCAGGCAGTTTTCCTCTTCACAGTTTTGCCTCACTAATGATGCCCATTATCCACTCCTGTCCTCGGTACATCAGAAGAGAAATAAATAATCAGGGTGACTTCCATAAACTAATCTGATGCTCCATCAGTTAACTTACTTTGGTGGTGATCTGTAGAGAAAGCCACATACTAGTACTTAAAACAATTGGCCTATGTGGAACCTAAGATTTGGGTTTCAGAGCACCTTTCCTACACAGTGCTTCCTGCCACGTGACCATTTTCATTCCACCTGGCAGAAGATAGCAAATGATCATTTCCTCAAATTCATCTGTCTTATCAATGAAAGAATGATGGAAGGCTAGAGGACTAAGATATGCAGGAACCTGGAGTTTTATGAAGTGAATATATCAGTTTGGGATTAATGGGCCTTGGACATACTGACATAATTCTCTGAGTATTGAGTCCAACTTGTCATATAGGGCATTCTCAACAGATCTACCCCAACCCTCTTGCTTTGAATATCCCCAAGTCACCCTTGGTCCTATTTCTCGTTTGCCCTTTCCCCGTGCATCTTCAACTCTAGCAGTTGTCCCTGTTAAGAGAGTACTAATAGTTTGTACTTATCTCTGCCCCTCAACTTGTCCTACTGTTAACCTCTACTGCTTACCCATAAGGTAATGGTGATAGACTGTCAGTCACAAGAACTGCAGATGACAGAAAAGGGTAGAAATCACGTGGGCCAAAATTCAATGACAATGGTAGTAATTATAGATTCAGAGAGCATCCCTGTATATAAAAAATGCTTGACAAAACCCATGCTAAGAGGCATGAAATCATTCTACTAAAGATAATGTGATTGATCTTTGATCAGGCATTTAAAGCCATTTTATCTTCTCATTTTCAGTTACTATTTTATGTAACTGACCTGATCCTTTCAGCTGAGAAATACCCTCTAGTATTGTGTCATCATCCTAAAGAAGAGAGGTGAGATGGGAAGGGATAACTTCTCAAAAGTGAAAATAAAATATCTTGCTAAAAAGACACATCTCCATTTGAAGATGGATTAGATACAGTTGTTTTTTTTGTTTGTTTGTTTGTTTTTTTGACATTTTTCCTTACTGAAAGGAGAATGAGAAAAAAGAAAAATATAAATGAAACTGAAATTTCCAGTGAAGGAATCTTCTCAAGAAGTATCTGAAGAAAAATATGTTAAAAATGGTGTCCCTTATTAGCAACTAAACATGGTTAAATTGGCAATATTTTAAATGATCCAGGAAGTCTCTTAAAAAATGTCTAATAACTATGTATGAAAGTAAGATTATGGAGAAAATTTAACATTAAGGAGAAAATTTAAAGTGAATTTGATTAACAGGTTACTAAATTATGTCTTGGTTGGACTCTAATTTTTTTAAATGGGCTTTACAGGTGAGCAAAGAAACCTCCGGGAGAATATATACCAGAATAACAAAATAACAATTATCTCTGGCCTTTGGAATTGCTGGTATTTTTTTTTTCTTTTTGCATTATCTATTTTGTAACACTTTGAAAAATGAAAACTCTATCACTTGGTTTAAAAAAAGAGCTTACGTTTTTTGATAAAGTATTTGTTTAATTTTGATCACTTGCTATTTTAATGAATATTTTTGATATTGAAAATATGTGGGATGATCATGACAATAAATAAATTGAAGAAAAACTATACAAGGTGGTATAATGGAAAAGCACTAGCTTTGAGAGTATTAGATCCTAGTTTAAATTCTGCTCTTTTGTTAACTAAAAGATCTTGAATATATAAAATAATCTTCTGTGTTCTCAATTTTCTCATGATAAAATAAGGAGAGTGCATCAGATAATCTCCAGGGTCCCTGCCTGATCTCCTATTATGTTTTTTTGAATCTTGAGACTGCATGGCTATGGCAAACTACTGCCACCTGGTGACAGTTATCTAAAGTGAGGGAATTGTATTTTAGGTATAAATTCAGCATCATTCATTCATTCATGCTTACATTTGCCTAGCTAGCTAGCTATATGTGCTGGGCAAGTGCTGGCATTATCATTCATTCAGTTTAGTTTTCTTTTTTTTTTTTTTTTAAGATGATAGAGGTGAAACAAATAAGACAAGAGCTGTCATGTGCTTGCTGTTTTGCCCTGAGGATGACCTCATTTAACCAATTCTGACTCTCTTCCCATGTGAAAAATAAAGATAATAATATCCACCTTGCATTATTAGAAAATCTAGAGATGATGGATGTAAAGTGTCTCACACGATCCATGGGGAAAAAAAATTTGGTCTATAAACGGTAGAAATTATGCACAGGAAGGTAACCCATCTAGATGTTTATCATCTAGTAACTATAGAAGGTTACCATCTGTATTCTAGACAAATATAGAAATCTGCACGATATGTGATATGCCTTGAAAATAAAAGAAAACACAGGCATGTTCAGAAAATGACAAAACCAAAGTTCAAATAGACTGGAGTATGAAGGATGTGTAGGCGATTGCTGGTAAGTATTGAATGGTAGGTTGCAAGTCTGCTCTGGAGAGTCCTAAACAGCAGGAAGCAACAGCCAGCCACGGAATAGTTTGGAGCAAAGAGTAACATCACCAGAGCAGAGCTTTGAGAAGATTGCTATTAATCTACTGTCTGTGACAAGGAGGTTAAGAAGCCATTGCCAAAACAGCCAGTTAATGAGCACAAAGGATGACAAAGGAAAGATGGATGGAAACGACAGAGAAACTGCAAAAACCAAGTTGTAAATAAATTTTTCTAAGATGACTTAAGACATTGTTAGATTAAAAATGAACTACCTGAGACAAAAGGAGGCTAAGGTGTGCTTAGTGTCATCTAAACAACCAAATCACAGCAGTGGTAGGACTACACTCTACAGTTCCCGATTCTGGGTCTAATACCCCTTTTTCCACCCAGGAAAGATATTAATCTGACTTTCCACTCAGGCAT